CTGTGGGCCAACATGAATCCAGGTAATAAACAGTTTCATTCAAAAGTTCAACTTCCTTTTCTAGGAGGACCACGAAAGGGAAACGACGTCCAAAAATAGTCTTCATGTGAAAAAGGGAAGGGATGGGACTTCCACGGCGTTTTTCATAATTTGCTTCTGTGTAGGAAGGATAGACGGCACGTATTTTGTACACACGATCAAAGTTCGCGGCAAAGGCCGGGCTTGGTTATGTGTAAATTCTCGAGGGAACTCTGAAAACGGGTTTGATTTAAGAAGTATCACGACAGTTCTTTGTTTGGGAATAACTAAGTATATGAGGAGTCTTTTTTCATGACGTGATCATCTCTTGTCAACATGAATTGAAGCGGTTTCGTCAAATCTCCAACCGTTTGATCGGGAGTCAAATTCCTCACTCCATTAACAAAGACTCGTTTCTTATTGGCTTTAATTGTAATGGCTTCGCTCCTATGATTCTGTCACGAACCATACTTAGGTAAGCAACTGACAGTTTCCTTTACAGGATCTTCCCAAATGTTGAGATGACAAGACGGTGGTGACCCACGAATACTGCCACCTCGGTGTTGCCATATCTGGAGTTTGTGACTCAATGAATTGGACAAACATCCAGTTGCCACTCCAAAAATTTAGAAAGTAAGCAAATTATTATAGAGATTTAACAAGAGGACGGGAACATTATTTCAGAACGGGAGAGCGCGCGGAATAGTCTGGACACGACACCATTCGACTTCCGGTGTTAGCGTTGCCGTTCTCCCTAACAAGTTCAGGATGTCATTTCGCTGGTTTTCCCGTCGCGATCAGAACGTTTGGAATTTCCACCAATTGTGCTCTTGTAAATCCATGCAAGTGAGATAATACTGTTTGGGAGTATTTCAAAACTCATCTCCAGGATAATTGCGTACCTTTCTTTATTTTAATAAAATAGAGGGCAAAATTACTGAATGCTGATTGGTCAATGAAGAGGGTATTTTTTTCTTAATAATTGTTTGAGAAGGGGGCAAAATTACTAGCTCATCATTGGTACTCAGGTTGCCTACCAACAGCTTATGCTATCGAAAAAAGTTGTTGCAGAAGATTTTCTGTAACAATGGCGTCTCGTTTCGAGATAGTTGGCGAGGAATATATCGAAGAATTAAAAGACAAGAGTGAAAACGAAAACACGAGGAAAAGCACGGAGTACTGGAAGAACGTTTTTAAAAAGTGGGCGAATGAAAGAAACTTCTAAGCAAATTTAGAAGATTACGAGAGCGATATCCTCTACCGAACACTGGCGCAGTTTTATGCCGAGTTACGAAAAGAAAACGGGGATGAATATGAGCCCGACTGCCTGAAAGTAATGCAAGCATTACTGGAGAGATATGTAAAATCAAAAGCCTATCCAAGGTCGTGGTATCTTTGTGCAAAAATAAATTTTCATTTAGCTCATTCGTGCGTTTGTGGCCATTGATTCTCTGTCAACTTTAAATGGCTTCCTATAATTATAATTAGTAATAATAGTTTAATATTTATATTGAGCAAATTAATATGTGGATATGATCAAATGCGCATCACAACACTTTTCGGGGGACTTTGGCCTGACTACATCAGCAGTTTACAAACAATCGAAGAAAACTTATTTGAAGATGCCCCCTCCCCCCAATTCCCAGTAAACAGGCCAGACCACATCACAGTGATCACCATCATGGAAATAAACGTACTTATCAAGCTCGATTAGAGAAGAAAAACATTCATGAAGGATTGAAACCTACATACTCAAAAAGTACTCCAGATGGCACATTCTGCCTGGAGGCAGTGGACTGGAAGCCACGCGGTGCATGAGCCTATGTTATAATTCGTTTGAAATGCTTCCAATTATTATTTACTTTTAATTTTAAGAGGGGAGGCGCGGTGGCCTCATCATTGGTGCGCTCGACTCCGGATCGAGTGGTCCGGGTTTGAGCCCCGGCCGGGGACATCGTGTTGTGTTCTTAGAGAGGACACTTTACTCTCACAGTGTCTCTCTCCACCCAGGTGTATTAAATGGGTACCGGCGAATTTAATGCTGGGGGTAACCCTGCGATGGACTAGTATCCCATCCAGGGGGGGGGGGTAGAAATACTCTTAGTCGCTTCATGCTACGGAAACCGGAGTTAAGCGCCGGCCCGATGAGCCACATGGTTCTTAAGTAGACTTTACCTTACCTTACCTTTAATTTTAAGCCACCTGAAATAGATTCAATTATCTAAACGTTTTCATACAGATGATGGGGTCACGTGGGCCACCATGACTACAAGACCCATTTCTCTATCGGTAGCGACTGTGATTTTACTCACGTGATGGTGCACGAGATCGGACATTCAGTCGGATTCTGGCACAAGCAAAGCAGACCGGACCGAAACAGTTGCATTCAGGTTATATGGGCGAACGTCCTGGACGGTGAGAATATTCAATATATAGTTAATAAGAACGAACGATAAAATTTACATGAGAGCAAACCAATAATCAGCTTGAAAATTATGTTGGAAGAGTTCTGTTTATGTGAAGAATAGCATTTTTGTTTCTACTGACCTCACTACAAATCATTAACAGCCCCCTCCCCTCCCCCCCGATTAAATGTTGCCTCGAAAC